GAGATGTGCCGTTTTGAAGCTGTTTATTTGAAATCCATTTCAACCATGTAGTATGATGGATAAAGGTGCGATCTGGTAATGAAATACAAAATCAAACACTGTCTTGACTAGGATGTTAGTGGCCAAAAATCAATAATCTGATGAGAATTTGGTACCTTATTTCAAATACCGGTGAAGTGTCCCTATCACGAAAAACATTGCTGCAACTGGCAGCTGAGACTATAAGCAAACAGACCAACAGGTCTTGGGGAAACGTTAATAGTTGCCTTTACTTTGAGCAGGTGCTGCCAGCATGAGGATAAGGCATATTGGCTTGTACTGAGGCTGCCTATGCTAAAGACAGGACTATATTTTCCTGAAATATCTGGGTGCTATTTCTGCATCACTGATTGAAGTGAACCATATTTTGAGGTCTGGGTATTTTTGCTGGAAACCCATCACATGAAGTTCTTCATGCTGCTTCATTTATATTTAGATGAAAAGATCTGCTGTTTTCTTCAACCAGACACTGGTATATCTCGCTCAAAGACCTTTGCTTCCTGGTGTAGTAAGTATTAAAGCGGGGAGGAACAGTACTTTAACTCAGCATGTGTGGAGGGCACTATACAGAGAGCAATGAATAAACAAAGAGTTAGAAGTCTTTTGTCAGCCTAAAATACTCCCTAGGATTGTGTTTGATAAAATAATAATAATTATAGTGATGGATGAGGTTTGCCATTGAAAACCTGCAATTTTAAACAGCTGTGGTTCCCAAACTATGACAGTGTGTGTGTGTGTGTGTATCTGTGTGTGTATATATATATTTATTTCCTAGACTCTGTGTTTCTCTGTTTCTGTAAAATATCATGAGTCAAAGCCATCCCTGAGGCAAATTCATTGATTCTAAAGGTCCCGTGCTTTTAAGCATGGCTGTTCAAAGGATGTAAGGCTGGATGAATTGCATATATGTATATTTTAGAAATATACTAAAGATTTGTTTAACAAATAGCTTTTTAACTGATAGCTTTTCATTTTTAAAGTTAAAAATTGTGAAGTATCTGAATATGATATTTTGATCTGAGTTAGGGAGAAAGGTATATAGCTGTTCAACACAAGGGACTGTCAAGAAGACAATGTTTGACAACTGTTGCATAGGAAACCTATTTACAGCATACCAAGTTTCAAACATTCTACAGAGTATATTACATAAGGGAGAAACCACAACTCACAGGCAAACTGAGTTAAGGTGAGAATAGAGTAGCCGTGATAGCAAGGGACAGAGTGATCGACCCTGTGACAGAACCTGTGTGGCATATGTGCTGGGATGTAGGCAGACAATTATATCTTGTCTATTACAGGAATCCATTTCTGGCTTTTTTTTCTTTTACAGAGCTAATGTAATCTATAATTATACACAGTAAGTGGGTGTCTGGGCTGAGATTAAAACTTGGGAGTTACTGGCTTTCATTTTGATGCTCGGGTTACTAGAGGCACTGGGAAAGTTTTCAAAAGTACCTAAATGATATAGATGCCTAACATCGGTTTTCTAAAGTGGTTTAGATACTGAAAAGTCAATGGTTCTATCCCTATGTTACTTTAGAAAATGGGACTCAGGCTCCTCACTTCTGAAACTTTTACTCACTGCCTCTGGAAGATGCTAACAGGCCACTTATTACTCTATGACTGGAAATGCAGTTTCTACAAAGTTTACTTTTTCCCTGGGGAGACTCTCAATATTTGTGAAATATTTGATATTTAATTGGGGAAAATTGAATTGAGATGTTTAATGCATATTGGAATATTTCATCTTGTGGAACTGAGCTGAAACATTTCATTTTGAATCAGTTCAATAAAACACTATGGTACATTTCCCAATCAATGCATTGACTTTAGTGTAATACCTTAAGGGAATTGTATGTAGGCTCCAATTCACTCCTATGAGTCAAACTCTAGGGATTTCAGCTTCCATAATACTATGGAGATTTCTTGTGACCAAGTTTTCTACAGTGCATTATGGAAGTCATGTGATTCTGTGTGCATTGTGGGATGTTGAGTGCAGCAAGGAAACCTTGCCTATATTGGAGAATGAAAGGCAATAGACTGCTAAACTACAGTGTCTATGAACCAATACAAAATAGAGTTGAATGTTGAACTTACTCAAAATGAAGTATTTCGGGTCACTTCAATAAACCAAAATGAAATCTATTGATTTTGGAACTGTCAAAACATTTCAGTCAAAAATGGTGAAGAAAAACATTTAAACATTTCAGAAATTGAAACTCTGCAGACAGTCTGTATTGTGAAAAAACCTGAAATCTCATTTTTTGTGGATAAAATGTGGGACAACACCAAATGCTAAATGTTTGGAATTTCCCAATAGATGGAAATTCTGAATAGCACTCAATTTTCTTTGTAAAACATCATGCACATCTATAGCACTATGTTAATGCTGAGTATAAATAATTTACCAATCTATCCTATTTGCAAGTGACTCTCTTCAATAGTTGTTGGGTTTTCTTTCTAATTATTTATATTGACTTCATTGACCACACTGCTGTATTACAGTTACAATTTATCCTAAATTATTTGATCAAACAGAATTTTGGTCAGTGTGAAATATGATGGAGAGGAAATAATGAACATTTTCTTCTGACTCCTCTCCCAAACAAAAACAAACAAAACCCCAACATCAAACAAAGGACGAATACTGAAACAGCTGGGAATAGAAAGCTGGTATTTGCACTGAAAATCAACTCTCAGTGAGAAAAAATGCGTCTGAATGCTGAGATGCAAATTATTGGTTTGTCCAAGGTATGACTTGCCCAGAGTAATGCTCTGCACACTCACAATTAATTTGCACTGGGCTGCATTGCTAAATACTTACTGGACACATGGAGTCCAGAGTTAGAAGGGTGGAAAGCAAGGGAATATAGACCAGGGCTCTGATACAGCAAAGTACTTGAGCAACTGCTTAAATGTAAGCATAAGTAGTCCTACTGATCTTTAAAAACCTGTGTCAATTTTCACTTTGTTATGAAATCTGTGCACAACTAATTGCGGGGAACATATATTCTTCCACAGGTATTTCCCTCTCTGATCTTTCCCAGGAAAATTGTGATGGAAAAGAGCCACAATGCTTCATGTCCCCCTTCCAAGCCTCTTGGGTGGCCACAAGTGAATGATCTAAACATTAACTATTTATAAGAAAAACATTATAAGAGCAGCCTGGGGAAAACTCACATCATAGTAGGTTATTAAATATTGCATATAAAGGATAATGGGAAGTACAAGTGTCTGGGTCAGGTCAGCTTTATCTCACACACTTTTAAAAAGTTACATACTATGTAGCATAGTGTCGATATTGTAATTTTCATTCCTTTCTCTATTGTTGTTTGGGTATTACACACCAGAGCAAATTAAAAAATAACCTCAGTTCTTCTTAATCCCACTTGTTTTCATACTCCTCTTTGGATGAGACAGGTATTCTTATCCTGAAGAATAAAATAGAAACGTAAGAAAAAAAATCTCTGTTTAAATAGATATGCGAGGGGAAAAACATCTCTCTCTTTTAATAGCTATGTAGTATTCCATGTAGGTAATTTGAATGCTGTGTTATCAAGAGACAGGACTGCCGGACTTAATACAGAAAAATGAATTGGAGAGTATGCACCTAACACTCACCAAAAATGCCAGCAGGCAGCTGGTTAACCTTAAAATTGTCATGTCAACATAAATCCTTACTCTGGCAGGCAGTTCTTTCTATCTCTCTTGGGTATTCCAAAAGGTCAGAGACACAGAGAGAGAGAATTTTACCCTTTGCTCAGACTCATTCTCAATCTTCTTTCTAAACCAGCTGAGTTTAAGACCACAGATTGGCAATTCAGGATTTAAAGGTGCCAGTAGCCTAACTGCTAATCTCAGTCTCCTTTTAACTTCTTCAGTACTATATTTGAACATCAGGTAACTCAGGCCCATGTCCTGAGTTGCTGTCAATCAGCATAGCTTCATTGGGAGCCCTTGGAATGTCACCAAATGGTCCCTAATTATGTTAAACAGTTTGATTTGCCAGTCAGCGTATTACCATGGCACACTGTACGGAATAGCATATTACATGCCAATAATAATTTGTGTGTGTTTTTCCTTATATGGGCAGAAAGTATATTAATTAATTTTTCTTCTTTGTGTAACCCCTTCTTTCCTCCCTGAGTTATCTAACGGAATATACAATGGTGGTGCCTGGCTCTGTACACACTTAGTGGTGTGTCTTAGGAGTCTCCAGGAATAAATTTACTTACTCCAGTAATAATTGGGATCTATTGCCAAAACAACAATTACAAATAATATACATCTAACTGATTAAATTAGAATTAACATACCTTTACTTCACAACTTAAAGAAACAGAGTTTAACAGACTAAAAGAGAATAAAATCAATTAACAAGGTACACAGAAATTAAGGAAACTTATCTAACCGGCATTTACCCTGCCACGATTTATCCCACCCCAGAGTGTACACTCCTCTGGATCTCAGAGTCCCAGATGCTTGCGTGGGTGCGTTTGAAGGTCTGCAGCTGAAGTGGAGACAGCACTGTGCAGGTCCTGTGTGTGTCAGTCCAAGCTAAGCAGGCAACTGCAAAATCCCTCTACTATTGGAGTAGGCCCCACAAAATGCCAGCAGCTCTGGTTCACTGGGCAGATCACTCAGGCTCTCTTTGGACCCAGAGTCAGTTTGTCTTCTGTGCTCTGTCCCAGCACCACTTTCTCAAAGAGCCACAGTTATACACAGTACCTCCTATGCAGGGTTATGCAGGCCCTTCTCAGCCACACACACAGCCAAAGTCTCTTCCCTCCAGGGAAGAGACTAAGTGTCTGTTTCAAAGCAGGGAAATATTACAGAATGTGAAGAAGTTTGCTTACCTGTTGTGGACAGATGCGGCTGCTAACTGAGGTTTTCCCTCTGGTACAGTAGTTTCTGCCTCTGGCCAAAACAAAACCTGAATGCCTTTTGGGGTAACGAAAATCTGAAACAAACAAGTAGTTGCAATAACTTCTTTGTCTAGCTTCTCTTCACATCTGGGCCATTGGCCCTCTCCAAAGAGCTCTCCTACTCCCTGACATTGGGTCACAGATCTTCTGTTTGTGAGGTTTTCCCTCTTAGGTGCAAGGGGATGAAAACTTTTGTTCACCTTTGCCCAGATAGTCTTAGAGGCTGTGCCCTGCTTTGAGGCTCTCCTAGTACTCTTCCCTTTTCTGGGGCATAACTGAAACATCTCACTTGACAGTCCTTGAGGTTTAGGAGAGCTCATACCCTCCTCTTTGATGGAAGTCAGTTCTGGGACCCTAATGATGAAGCAGCCCTCTGACCCATCCTTAAACTTTGCCACTTGACTTTTCCCCAGTCACTTACTAAGATCAGCCTCTCCTCATACATTTCAGGAAGCCTCCCTGTTGCCAGCCTCCTACCCCCTTCCTATCACCTTTTAACATCACTGAGACCCTCCGCTCAAGCCTTCTTCTTCTTCTTTGTCTTTTTAAAACAGGTTCCCTTCTATGTTCCTCTTACCCCTCTTAGGTTTTCTCCAAGGTGATAATGGACAGACCCAGAGTTCCTTAATTTTCCCAGTGCTTCCTTTCTAGAGAGGGGCCAACAGCCCACTTCCTCTCAGGAGCTCCCTCATCCCCTAGCCTGGAAAGGCACAGGCTATGCTATCTCACCAGTGAGAACCACAACAGCTCGTTTCCTCTCTGGTCTCTCTCCCACTGGAACAAAGGAGACTTATAATCCTGTTCCCTTTCCTAAAATGTCTTGGAACCAGGCCAACAATTCACATTATCTCTGGAAACTACTAGTCCCAGAAAGTCTCCTTTTTGAGGTCAATTAGTTTCGGGCCCGTGGTTTGCTTTGAAGGGCTAGAATATTCTGTTACACAGTATTTGAATAATGCACTATATTGCAGTGGGATATCTAATTTCCTCATCCATGAAGTCCATTCAGTGGTATTCAAGAGGTTAATAACATTCAAGGGAAGGGGTCGGAATGCATCTATTCTTGGTCATACAAACAAGGATTACATAAATTCACTTCATGGTAAATTAATTCCTGATGCCAAATGCTCATGGGAGCCATTGAAAGAATCTTGTTTCTTATCACTACGTAACAATTCTGTGACATGGTCATTAGCTCCGGTACTCATAACTGGGATTGCATGGACTTCTCAACTGTATACAGTACTTGGAATCTGCTGCTCCAAAACCACATGCAGAGAGATGAGAATCTCTGTGACATTAGGATTTGTATCCTCTGGGGTTTACAGAGAGATAGGATCACTTTCCTGAGAGGTTCTGACATTTCATTCCTTCAGTTTCATTTCCCAAGATTTATACTTTGTAAAATCTCAAAGGTACAGCACAAAGTACAGGTATTTACTTGACAGAGAGAGATTAAATTATCAGGCAATCACAAGTGTTGAGTTCTTCCAAAGTGCTTTTTAATAAAACATATCAAGCAAAGTGGTTTTCAGCATAGTATATTTTACAGCATATTTAAATAAAATGACCTTCTCTTTAATTCTCCCCTAAACTATCTTTCTAGTCTCTTAATAAAATTGTGTTTTCTGGTGACATCTATAACACTTCATATAGTAGTATTGTCAGGATGAAGGCAAACTTTGCAAATGAACAATCTGGGGACAAGTATGCATATATTAAAGACATAGAGGACAAACATTAGAAATGGAAACATCTCATTTTTGGAGGGAAGCATGTTTTGAAAGGTGGTGATCAAGGAAAACCCTTGGTTTATGTACAGTTTTATTCTGCTTGCTGTTACGGCATCATGGACTTTTACTGCCATTCTGAAAATTAGGAAATACACAACAATTGGGAAGATGGAAAACACAAGTCGACCAAATCAAATTATGAAGTGCTCTGAAGAGATTAGAGTGGTAGGTGCTATAGGCAGCCCTTCACCCAGTGAGAAGAAACAAAGAGATGCAAAATGATACATTACTGAGCCACTGCACCCAGAATTTAAAAACAGGCTTATTTGCATCTTATCCACTTACTATCATCTGAAGCTTACTTCCCCACACATACAAGCATGTAGATAGTTCAGAAAAGATTTGTGAATAGGCCTGGGTCATAAGGAACCTAGGAGACAATCTGTCATGATAGAGTCACAATATGAAAAAACAAAACCCCCTGACAAATACTGGGCTAGCCAATATCTCACTACTCCTCATTAAAAATAACGTTTTGATGTAACAACTATGGCTGTGTGCATTCAAGGGTCCCAAATGTCACATGCTTTTGAAGTTCTATCCAGGGAGCGTACGTTCAATATTTACAAAATAGCATTGTTAGAAGGGCTGCAGATAGGTACCTGAATGGACACTAGAGTCTCACTGAAGAGGTCTAGTAGAGTTGTGTCCCCTTTTCCTCTAAGCTGAGGCATATAAACGTAAGATAAAGCAGCAATAAAAAGCACTATATAAAATGTGCATTACAGCTCCCTAGTAAGTACAGTAAAGGATTTCTGACAAACATTTCTATTTGTATGTATGAGTGTGTTGCAATTCTACAACTCAGTCTCTAAGCAGCAGTTGGCAATATTTAGTCAGTCATTCATGTCATGTCTGGCTTTCATTTTTATACACCAATTCACCTTCTAAATACTGACTCCACAATAGTCTGTTTAAAAAAAGAATAAACACTGTTTTGTGAAAATCTCGGACATTGAGTTCAAGTCTGACCATATTGGTTCCCATTGTCACTGGATAAAATATGATGTCAATGGGTCCATCAGCAAGATCTCTATCCTACCAAGTGACAGCAGAATTCTTTGTCATTGTAAAGAGCTGTGGAAATGCAGTCACAAATGCCTGAGATGTCTTTATATGCTTCCTTCTGAAATGTACCATATTGAGAGCTGTTGTGTGGGAATACGAGAAAAATTGAGAATCTAAAGTAAAGTGCTTGTTCTGAACACACTGTTTTATAGAAAACAATTGCAAAATTAACACACAGATAAGACTGTTATTTGAAGGACTGGATATTTGAAGAGATAGTTAATTGAACTTTTTGCTTACAGCTCACCAGTTCAGAAGATGTAATCCAGGTTTGTAGCATTCAACAATTGTTACCAGCTGGTGGTTCTTAATGGTCTCAGATGAGAAGTGCCAACATAACCAAAATTGCAAACACTGCCACAAAAAATAAACAGCTGGATTTTGAAAATAGCCAAAAGTCTGAATGAGCAGGGAGACTGGAGGCAAGATTTTATTTTAAAAGATAAACACAAAAAAGTGTGTGTCACAGCCACCCTATATGTGCACATGCATTTATTGCAACTAACACTTTTAGTCACAGAATAACCCATCAGTATGTGCAAATATATGTGTGTGACAACACTAATTGCACGTGCAAATATACAATGCAAGCACCATGTTGAGTTCACAAGTGAAGCTGAACTTTTTAAATTGGTGGCCTTGGTTGACCCTCTGTATAGGGCTAGTCCCTCCAGAACAAGATAGTGGTTCCTTGAGGAAAGCCACAAAAGATGCAGTACAGACAGGATCTGCTCCACAGACATCCAGAGGATTTCACTGATCAGCAGTGTTCCCTGGAAGTTGTGTGCTTGTGCAGTCACTCAGGGGAGATTCAAATGACATCCAGCTGATTAGCAGAGCACCCCATAGCTAGTTTTTTTTTGTTTGTTTTTACTGGTGGTGCACTGTCACTCACTCGCCCCAGGCACCTCCCACTGGTCGGTGTCCCAGCCTCTGTTGCAGGTCTTCTGCTGGTTCAGTCCCATGTCCCTTCCTAGCCACAGTGCCCTTTCCTCCTCAGATGGTCCTACGTCAGTGCCTCTGCATTCTAGGGTCCTCCACTCCCAGGGAAGCCCCAATTCCCCTATACCCACCTTGCCTCAGTAACTCACCGCCAGTCATCATCTAGCCCCTGCCACAGGGGCAAACTACAGTCTGTAATGGCCACTCCTCATTGGCAAGGGGGTGTGGACCTGCTGCCTTTCCTTATCCTGGCTGTTAACTGGCAGTCTTAATACAGTGTATTAAATACACCCAGGCCTTGTCCCAGGCCCTGCAGCCTGGGAGTGAGGTCAGACCAAAGCTCCCCAGCTCTTCCTGCTTTCTCCCAGTACTACTCTGTCTCAGGAAGTCTCCAGATTCCTTGGCAGCCAGGTTCCTTCAGCTCCCCAGCTAGAGCAAAAGTGTATCTGTTCTCCTTTCTCCAGGAGCCCTTATTTATACAGCCTGAGCTGGGCCCTAATTGGCTGACTGTGCCTTAGCTGTGGGCTCTGCTCATCTCGGCCCTCTCCGGCTATGTCTACACTGGTGGATTCTTGCAGAAGAACATCTTGAGCAAGGGTTCTTGTACAAGAATTCTTATGCAAGAACACGTCCACACAGACATGTGCTTTTGTGCAAGAGCATCCATGGCAGTGTGGATGCTCTCTTGCACAAGAAAGCTCTGATGGCCATTTTAGCCATAGGGCTTTCTTGCACAAGAAACCCCTGACGTGCGTGCACACGGTCCTCTTGTGCAAGAAGCCCTCTCTTCCCACTCTTTATTGTAAATCTTCTTGTGCAAGAGCAGACGGGAAGTGTGGAAGCTCTGCGGAAGAACGGCCATTCTTGCGCAAGAACCCGCCAGTGTAGACATAGCCTCCCGGGACTGGGTTTTAATCTTCTAAGGGACAATGTGAGGCAGACACCCCATCTCATACACATTTACACATGCCTTGGTGCACATAAAAGTTTATTCTACACATGGATGGAAAAAAGATTAGACGGAGCATTGCTCATCAGTATTTTCAGGAACTTTACATTCATTCTCATAATACACAATTTAACCAATGTCTCCAACTCATCAGAAATGAATGGATTTCCTGTATTTTATTTTTGTTGGCATAGGTTGCAATGCATCCTTGCATTTTCCTGAAGGATGAACCACAAATGGTTTCTTTGTGAGCATTTTGTAAACAAAGAGACTTCTCAGTTGA